AATATATATTCATAAATCCTGGAATGACCTAACACCTACATATTTCTGTGAACTGACTAAGAGAGTACGTAAGTGTGCAAAGCTATTATTAAGAGCAAAGGTAACAGTTTTGATGATTCTAATGTTTCAGTGAAAATAATTAAATTGTAACTACATTTCCATGTCTCCAATTGTATAATATTGGCTTATTGCCATTTTAACCAGTAATCTGATTATAAGTGTTTATTTTATCTAGAAACATTTGAGATCTTCCAAACTTTTGCCCTGTAGTGTAATTTATGTCAGTGACTTATTTATAAAACTTGCAATACTTGTAGGAGGGTGATACATCCTCCAGACACAGTAAGCCCCATGAGCACTAGCACATGAAAACAGGTTCATTCTTTCCTTTGCACTTCTTCTCTTCAGACATAGTTATTTCATAAAATTTACTGGAATTTTTGTGCTTGTTGTTTTAACCTTTCATTATTATTTGTTGATTATCTGAATAAACAATACCAAGTTTTAAACTTATCAGTTAGAATTTCCATTTAAATTACATTCAATTTGACTTTCTTTTAATCCACCTTGTACTTTTGGAACACTTTCCACATTGTCTGTGAGTTTCTTACAGTACTCCTCATTTTGTCATGAAGCCTATGTACCATCACCATGCCTGGCTCATTTTCTTTCTAACTGATAACATAAAAATAAAGGACCATTACAACATCAGTTTTACAGTTTAGATAGATTATTCTTTCATGTTCCCGCATTTCTGACATCCCTCGAGGTTTTTAACACTCTTTCACGTGTTTCATTCAATACTGTAATAGTAACTAGAAACAACCTGATGATCAAGGATATTACTACCATTATGCATCACATGGTTAGTTCTGTTCTAATATTGGATCCAAAATTACTGACTACCTGCTTCTGTTACTTCAGCTCAGCCTGCCCCCATCTTGTTAGTGGTTCATCACCACTGTTGTTTCCAAGCTTACTTTTACTTCTCATTCCCACTTCCCAACGTGGGTCAGGTATTCCCACCTTCATCCTTCACTGCTTAGATTCCAAAGGTTTGTGTCTTTTGTTTTCTCTTTCTTCAGTAATTGTTTGCTGATTCGCAGGCTCTCTTGTTGCATAAGCCTCCTTCACCTGAAACTTTTTTTCAGCTTAGGGCTCACCTCTTTTTACTTCCTTTTTTATTCTCTCTGTCTGTTCATTTTCATCTCTTACTCAACTTCTTTGTTTATTCTTATGTTTCATCTTCATTTGGAGCCTTTCCATCATAACCCTATCAGCTTTACTAGGACAACTTGCATGTACCTGTTTTCCACCTTGCCCTTGGTTTTCTTCCATTTGTCCTAGTTACCTTGTTGTTGTTTTTTCTGGGGTGTTTTCTGTCAGACTGCCCCCCTCAGTCTCCTTTCCAGGACCTCAGTCTTGCACCTTTTCTTTGTGATGTGTTTTTTGGGGGGTACTTCTTATATATCGACATTTTGAGCTGATGCAACTCTTCAGCAGTCATCACCAGGTTTCTTATCATGTACAGCCTCATGGAGGTTGCCCCTTTTCTATTCTTTGTACTCTTGTTACTGTCCAAAGTCCCCCTCTTTGAGGACTAGCCATCATGAGTCTTAGCAATTATTTTCTAGAGCCACCCTCCCAGCTCTAGTCCTGTAAGAGCTCTGCTCTTACACTTTTTACACTGATGGACTCTCTCTCTTTGTCACAGCCTATTGAATTCCTCAGATGCTTTCTTGGGGTGTTTTCCTGTATTTTTACTTTTCATCTCACCTATTTTGTATGCCACAGGATGATTTCTCAACCCACTCTTGGGTTTTATTGTTACCATGAAGACTGGATGTTTTTGGCCAATTATCAGTCTGTCTCACTTTATCCAACTATGGTCTTTCCTCAGTTCCCAATGGGCAGTTTCTCACTCTCTGGTAGATACTCTTCCTATTAGTAGTTGATCTGATTTGAAGTCTCACACACACTTAAAAGCTTTATTTGTCTGTCTGTCTTTCACTTCCTGTGGTTTTGTTAATTATAGCTCCAACTTCTTAATTGTTTTCAATGAGTTTTTACTCAGAGGTTACATTCCTGAGGAGTTATCTTGTTTGGGGTAGCTGGTTCAACTCCTTATTTCAGTCTCAACTCCCATCCTGTATTTCATTCACTTGAAGGGTCTTTCTCACTTTGTATATGAGGCAGGTTCAGTCTGCATCATTTTTTTTTTGTGATGTGGAGCTTTTGATACCAGGGCTTTCATGTCTCTTTCATTTCCTGCAGGAGTCGTTTTTGGGAGCTTTTTTATTAAATTCTTTATTCTTCTTGGATGTGCCCTTACATCCTCTTCAGTAGTTTTTGACCTGTCAAAGCAGGTATTTCCAAAGATACACTGCCTCATTTTCACCTCTAACAGTCGTAGTGGCTCACCCAACTCCACATGACTTTGGATGATCCTCCCAACTTTACCTGGATTTCGGTCTGTCTGGAGCCCTGCAGAGTTTAGAAGTCAGTCAGTAGACTCCTTCTGCTTACAAATGTGAATTTCCTTATCCATGGTTTCATTTTATGTTCATTTTGTGCTAGATGCCAATCAGTCCTACTGGAAAATCTTTCCACTGCCTCTTTTCTGGTGGGGTACAGTTATGAACACCTAATCCATTTTCAATATCTGGTCTCCAAGGGCTAGGGTTTTTTTTTCTTTACATCCTTGAGCTGGTGACTACTCACAGGCTTGCCATCATATTCTTTTTCCCTATCTGTCCTTCTTATCATGATCCATTCAGACAAGTTTGTCTTTCCTTCCCTCAACAGGAAGAACCCACTCTTGGGTTTTCTGTTTTCTTGGCTCTGGACTCTTTTTTTTTTTTATGCCCAATATTATAATATTCAATTGTCAATGTATTATGTCTCAAAGTTCAGGTCATGGTGGTGGTTTCACTATTTCACCTAGGCTTTTATACCCTTCCCACAGAGTAGTTTCTTTATCCTCTGCTGTTTTTAGTGGATTTCCTCCTATCATCTATCATCACTGTCTTTTCATCCCTCCCCCATTCCTCATTTACATTCATTTGGTACCCAGTCCCAGACTACAACTCTGGAAGTGGATAATCTGTGTCTGGTGTAGTTCAGCCTCTTTTAATATGCTTTAGATATATTCCTTTCTCTTTACTTTTACAGACGTCACTTGCTATTGTCTTGGCTTCCTCTCACACTACTTACTACAGGGACAGGTTTATTTTCCCAGCCCCTCCCCCTAAAAAAAATTGGCGTAGCTTGTGAGTATGATTTTATGTTTTCTCCTTTCATCATTCGTATACAGATCGTCTCCTTTTATCCTTTTTATTTTTACGGTCTATTTATTAATATATTATTCATACTGCACCTTTTTTAAGTCACTTACCGATGTCCTTTCTTGCCTTGTGATTTCTCTCTCCCTCTAATATTTTATCTCTTTCCCCTTTACCTTGTTGGGTTATACACCTCATCTGGCAAGCTTCTTCTATGGGTGATGACCCTTTTCTTATTTTTCATGTCTCCTTCCATCGTGTTTGTCATACAGGGAGGTTTTACCTGCCATGGCTTTTCTTTCTCTTCAGTCACTATTCTCCAATCCAAGGTAGCTCTGATAGTGAGTTGTTTATTTTCTCCTTTCTTTTTCCACAACCGCTTTATTCAACAATAATCTTTATAATGAAGATGATAGAATCCACCAAGTGGCCAGTGTTGCCTCACAAGGAATACTTACCCAAAAAATCCGCTCAAGTGGGGGAGTATGGAAAGCTTTAAGCCTATCTGCCCCTGCTCATTTCCCACTGTTGAAATCAGGCTTTCCACAAGAATATTTTGGCAGTGCCTGTATATATTTGCTAGGCCATTCTGCACTTGACAACAACAAGAAAAAGACAGCACCAGATGTGTGTCTGCCCTCATATTTGGCTCACGCCTGCTGTCTTTAGTCACAGTAATCTATTGCACTGTCTCTCGATGTGGGATCTAATTCCAGATGATTTTGCCTAATGTCATGGTCCAAGCATCTCTTTGGTGTTTTTCCCCATCCATATTCCTTGTTTCTCATTTCTTCTAGTAGAGTAAAGGAAAACCCTTGCTTCCCTAGTCCCAAGTCACTATGGAAGTTGAAATCTAGAGTTTTTCATCACGCTGTGCAACCCTGCTGGTAGGATTGCACAGTGTGGATACACCTCTCATTCAGGAAGTAAAGCTTGGGTGTTACCTAGTAGTGTTGTACACAGCACCCTACTTGTCCAGCCAGTTGGGTCTTGGGTTCATCTTGGGACACAGGTCTGGGATGCTTCTCCTTGCATCTGGTTATTGTGGTGTCTCACATATTTCTCCTATACAGAATGGTCTGACTTATAGTCTCTGCAACACTACACACATATGCTCAGCTGCCTGCCTGTTAGATAATGGTGGGTTGAACAATCTTACATTCCACCCACCGTATTGACACTTTCGTTTGCTCCTCTCCAAACAATGAATACCACAGTAACATTAGGGGAAGTGTATTCCTTGCTTGAGATTGATGTAGTCTTCTGTCAAGTGCCGCCCAACTAGGTTAACTCCCTATCTCATGAATGTCACATTCCATGAGCTTTCCTTTTCTGATGCCTCCCAGTGGCACAGCGGTAAGTCTGAATGCTCAAAACTGGGTTTCTATGCCGATGGTGGGCACAGCACAGATAACCCATTGTGTAACTTTGTGCTTAATCAGAATTTCTAATAAAGTATTTCTGCTGAAAATTAATGATTCAATAAAGGAAGATGAGTATTAAGTACTAAATGTTGTCTTCATTTCTACATGCAAAGTAACATAACAAATTAACAATAACAAAATAAACAGATAGATGTTAACTTTTTATTTTACTTCTCTTGCCAGCTGCTATTTAATTGATCAAACCTGAGAATTTGAAAAAGCACTGCAAAGTGTGAAGTACTTAAATAAGACAATGTTAGTAATATAGATAATAAATTACAGACAAGACTGTCAAACGTTGTAACAAACTGTTAATAAAACTTCTGTATCTAGATACGAATTATATTGACTACTATGATGAGATACACACTTCTAGTATTTCCTGGTAATATTTCTCATGTTATTGCATTACTGAAATTGTGATGTCATAAAATGTATAAATACCTTATTTAAAATATAACATATAAACATACATGTCAACACTGAGAGGTGCCAAATCGGGAGACTTTTTTATGGAGTAGCATCCCGTGGTGGGGGGGGGGGGCATGGGCCGCTAGAAAATTTAGAAAAAAAAAGGTGCACTTTTATTTATTCAGGGGGTCTTCAGACATTTACACTTATAAGATTGAAATGATGTTTTCTTTGTTTCATCTGCTGATATTGTTATACACTTTTATTGTAAGAATTGAAAAATGAAAAAATACAGATATCCTGATTAGTGTTCTTTGTTATATTCGAATGTTGCACTTTCAATACCTGCTTGGTGGGCTTGTATTTACTGGCTGAGGAATACGAGTTAAATTTACAGTTTAAAAGGGCACATGCTCTGTCATGCCCTAAATCAGTCCTATTCTCTGTTATAATTTTTCTCACCATTGCAAATCTCCTTTCACTCAATGCATTGGAATGTCATACAACAAGCTGACATTATAACAATGTCACACAGTAAATATTTACTTTATCCTGGTTGGCACTCTGTGAAGTTGAATTTTGTGACTCTATTCTCTTTGTTAAATTATCAAAAAAGTTGATATTGGGAGATCCTGGTCATGTGTCAGGAGATTGTGAAACAGGACTCCACCTCGGGAAACTCCTGCCAAAATCAGGAAAGTTGACAGGCCTACATAAGGTAAATATTCGATATTGTCTCATGACATTCTCTGCTGTTTAGTTATATACTTTCTTAATTCACCTTTTAATGTTTCAGTTTTCCTGAATTATTCTCAAATAAGCTAATTATTGTTGTATGTTTCGACTGCAACTCACATTTTACCAGTGATTAATCTTTTATTTCTAAAGGCCAATTATAAAACTATGTTCATGGTTTCAGTTTTCGTATATAAAACATCTTTCACAGTAAGTCAGGAAAATGTTTTAACTATTCCCATTGATGGTCCATGTGATCCTTTCTCTTTCAAAAGAGAAAGTATTGTATACAAGTAAAATCCTTTGAAGCAAGTGCTATTAACAATGTATCATACATCAGTCTAAGTATTAATTTCAAGTTACAGTAACTGGTATGATTGGTTTATGTCGCAACCTGTAGCTTGAAAAGTTTTTATGTAAACAAATCAGGTTTTCCATAATATGATCAGGAATGTCTTAGTTTGATAAAAACACCATCTTTTGAGTAAACACCAATGTACAGTTATCAAAGTTCATCAAGGATAAAAATTATGGACAGTTTAAATATTTGAACAAATACTACTGCAATAAGAAATTTGAATTAGAATTGTAAACACTTATTCATACTTGTAGAATGCTGACAAACCCATAGAAACTAGCAAGATCAGACTTTTATTTCATAGTAATTAATTCAAGATTGTTTTTCTTCTTATGTCTCATATGTTACAAAGATGGGAGAAAGCTGCCCACATTATTTTCCAGTTTTATAATTACAAAATTATGTAGTCCTTATTTAGGGTTGTTTATCTGATACTTTGTTTTAAGGAGGTTATTGTATTACATATTTGTAGATTGATATCCAAATCAGATGTTGACACAAAATTATGTAGTCCATATTTAGGGTTGTTTATCTGATACCTTGTTTTAAGGAGGTTATTGTATTACATATTTGTAGATTAATATCCAAGTCAGATATTGACACAAAATTAAGAAGTCCATATTTAGGGTTGTTTATCTGATACCTTGTTTTATATAGGTTTTTTTGTTCTATCTGTATCTTTGCATGTTCTGATGTACATGGTTCATACCTGATGATAAGGAACAATTTTGTAGATGGTACTTTTGATCTAAAAGTTGATGCAAGACATGTTGTTGGACTCAGTCCACTGCCTGTTTATCTCTACTCTGATTTCAAGTTCATCCACTTATACCCAAATAACATGTTCAGTCTGTTCATGTCATTGAAAATACTTTATTATTATAATTTCTTTCTCTTTTTATCCATTGTTTAGCATTTCACCATAAAAGAAAATCAGTAGGTTTTATCATTTTTCTTCCTAGAAGCTCAGAACCAATACCAGGGCCATAACATAACATGTTTTGGGATAATGTGGGACCTATTGATCCATCTTGGCTGTCCCATCCTTTAAACTAAACTAAAACTATTAATAAATAAATTTAAAAAATAAAATAAAATCTTAAAGCCAGCCCTTATCATTCATATACTTATCAAGCTTTTTCTTAAACTCACTTAAATTTACTGCCTTCACAACATCCAAATGCCAACCATCCTGTTAGAAAAATAAAACTGTCTTAGCTGATGATGACTCCTACCTTGCCAAAATTTATATTTGTGTCCCCTAATCCTACTATTCTCACTGTTAAATATAAAAAAAGATGATGCATCAACACTATCAGTCTTAAACACTTCAATCTGATCCCCCCCTAACTCTTTTTTTTTTTTTTAAGAGAAAACAATCTGAGAGATTTCACTCTGTCCTCATATGAGAACCCACCCCTCCATCCCAGACACCATTCTAGTAAACCTCCTTTCCAACCATTCAATGTCCTTCCTAAGGTAAGGAGCCCAAGACTGAACACAGTACTCCAAATATGGCCTAACCAGTGATACATACAAAGAAGTTATAACCTCTTTAGACTTCTTCCAGTATTTTTGTACATACAACCTAAAATCCTATTTTCCCTACCACTAGCAACAGCACACTGCTTGGATGGCTCAGAAGACTGATCAACAATTACACCAAGATCCCTTTCTTTCATGACACTGTTAAGATTATTCCCATTCAAGTTATGATAACCCACATGCATTATCTTGCATTTATTATAATTAAAACCCATTTGCCATTTATTTGCCCAAATCAGCAGCATCCTATTCACAGCTAGCAACACCCAAGACCTTAATATCCTCAGCAAATTTAAGTAATTTATTAACCATTCCTTTATGTATGTCATTGATATAAATCAAAAAGAGCAAAGGTCCTAAGACTGGGCCCTGAGATACTCCACTTGTAACATTAATCTAGTTTGAATGAACTTCATTTGTAACAACCCTCTGCTTTCTTCCATCCAGCCACTCTACTATCCAATTTGCTAACTTATCCCCCACAACTATAGATATATTTTTTTACAAGCCTTTTATGTGGTACCTTGTCAAATGCTTTCTGAAAATCCACATACACGAAATCTACACCCTTACTCTCATCTATGTAAGCAGTAACCTTTTCAAAAAAATGTTAAAAGATTTGTAAGGCAAGATTTTCCCTTAGTGAAACCATGTTAACTATCCAATAAAATTCTAAACTTTGTTAAATGGCTTTCCAAAGCATCTTTTATCAGACTTTCCAAAACTTTTCACACAACTGATGTAAGACTAATGGGCCTATAATTACTGGGACAATTTTTATCACCTCCCTTTAAAAGAGGAGTGACAATAGCTAACTTCCAATCCTCTGGCACCTACCCACTATTTAAAAATTTACAAACAAAAAAAGTAGCAAATGGCTCACATATCCAATCGTTAACCTCCTTCAAAACCCTTGGGGAAATATTACCTGACCCAGAAGCCTTATCCTTCTTTAAACTTCCCAATTTTTTCTAAACAAACTCAGAATTAATTCAGTCATCCTGTTTGATCTTGTTTCCATCTATCAACTGTTCAAGATTTGGAATACTACTTAAATCTGAAGAAAAAGCAGAAGTTAATAACCCAGCCATCTCATAATCATAAGATATTATTTCCTTTATTATCCCTCAAGGGTCCTACCCCCATCCTACGCTAAATGTATTTAAAGAAATTTTTACTGTTAATTTTTACATTTTCAGCCAATCTTTTTTCATACATTATTTTTGATGTCCTAATTTCCAGTTTGACCAACTTTCTTGATCTTCTAAATCTCTGATCATTCCAGACGATTTAAATTTCTTAAAATTGTGATTTTTTTTTTTCATTTTATTCTCATACTCTGTGTGAGCCAACCTGTTTTTCACTTGTAGCTACCCTTTTTCTTTCTATAAGGAATATGTTTACCATGAATGTTTACAAATTTTCCTTATCTGATCAGTGTCTACAAATAACTCAGCAGCCCAATTCTTAACAAATAATTCTTGTTGCATCCTTTCATAATTTGCTTTTTTGAAACTTGTAAGTTATGTTTTTGAAAGAAAAAACTACTGTTGTTATAAATTTGAACTAAACTATGCATGCCTATTTAAATATATTTACACATGGCTTGTGTATATCGTATATATGCATATATATTATTCATACCTTCGGTGTATAGGACGCAAGCAGATTTTGACATCAAATTTTAGGGTAAAAATTGCGTATTATACACCGAAAAATACGGTACATACAAATTGCACATCTCTATTAATAATACTAGCTTGCTTAAAAGTACATGCTAGTTCCGAGTTCCCGAATAAAACCCACTCATTGCACCCATTACACCTAACAAATTGTGAACGCTTAATTCTTACACTAGTCTTAACCTTTATACTTATAGCCTGAAAATAAATACCAAATTCCAGTAGCCTATTGTCAACAGTTACTGTTAAGCCTAACGTTTAAGAACCAATTATAATAAATATTAAAAACACGGTAATACCAAAAAACATATTTAATACGGACGTTTTCAGAATTTCCTTAAATTCCATCATCAGCGTTAATATCTCACACACAAAAAAGTTACCTGTTCTTTCTAAACTTTCGACTGAATATGAAAACTCGCTCGATGCTAATGTTGTTTTCTGTAGTTCGAATATTATGAACTAACTTTTTTTGAGATATTAACGCTGATAATGGAATTTAAGGAAATTCCGAAATGCCCGTATTAAAGATGTTTTTGGTTAACCTTTTTTTTATATTTATTATAAAACTTCGTTTTCCCCCTGATGAATCAATTCCAATTATATTTGTTTGTTATCACTACTTTGTCTTCACACTAAAGTAATTAAATTTATCTTTAATTATATAGAACTTAGAAGAGGCAATACCTAGTCTTTACTTTGATGTATACGTAATGTTAATAATACAATGTATTGTTACGCATCCGTTCGTTAGTTAATTTTCCGTAAAAATTCTTTCCGAAGAAACTTTACCGATACAA